CAAGATTCGTTGTTGCTGCAATATTTGGATGATGCAACACTGTTGAAATTTCGCTTCCAATACTACACCAAATAGACGTAGTTGCAATAAAATATTGCAGACAGAATAGAAATCCCATGTTAACCACTCGTTCAGCTCTCAGTACATGATTGATTGCACAAAATACACAACGAACGATAACTTGCTCATTTCACACTGCTTTACCGTACAGTATTATCGTTCCAGGAAGCTGCAGATGCTCCAATAATCAATTGCAAGAGATGACCAATTGATCATGCCTTTTAATTCTATACCGTAGAATAAACCTATTTTATGGAGGCTACGATTATCATGACTAGCCCAACCCTCGCTCGTAATACTCTGCGTACTATCAACTTACTCTTTTTCTTACAAAGGAGATCATGGACAACGGAACGTTCTCCCTGTGATTACTGTTACTTATTTTACCAGCTGTAATTGCTCAACAAAATAGTTTGTAGAGGATGCATGCTTGAATATCTGGACATGTTTATGTTCATTTATACTAATAATGAGGCTTGTCCAACTCCATTCCGAATTGGATAGATCAAGTTATTCCTTCATCGATGCAGGAACTTGACACCTGACATAATCAACCACAACCGTGTTTTCCTTAATAATAATAATTAAAAGATACAACTGCATTGACAGACGACAGTAGGAATACATTATATCAACAGCGATACTGCGGTACACCATCGTTGCCATTGCATTACAACTTTTACCTGAAAATGAATGATGTAAACTTGCTATGGTTATTGAAATAAGATTGAGAAATTAAAAATAGAAGCATATACCGGTACATATGATTTGCTACATTATACAGAACTCGTATTCTTATTTAATTTTCTTCTACTTTTTTTATTTGTATATAAAAAAGTGATTCAGCAATAAACGTGAGCAATGAATGAAGATGAAATAAATCTTAAATTTTAGGGATAGCAACAATTTCGCCCTAAGGAGTCAAACCGGCTCCTCAATTTAATATCCATACCATTTCATAATCATGAAAGGGTGTTTGGCTTATTAATTAAGTGATTCAAGACAATCGCTTAAAACTGGACTATTTGCCACTGTGCACTTATGTTTCCAACAGATTACCTTGCCTATAAACATTTATAACATGCACAAACAAAACAATCAATAGAATTGCAAATAGTATTTATTAACCTTAATTGATTGCGATGATATCATGCCATGAAATAATTTAAGCGTTCAGATAGGGTCGTACGCGTACGATTCCATAAGCAAATATCAATTATTAGCAAGTCAATTGTTTCACGCACAGTCTCCTAGTAGTCTAGTACCACATCAAGAGGCAAAGACTTGCATAAATCCGTGTACTAATTTATCCAAAACTTATATCAACGCAAAGAACTATATTAACATTGATGATTTTGCGGTACACAACCGTAAATAATTAATCGAAGGTAACAGTTGAACTCGGCAGCAAAAGGTCGGCGTGATATGACTCAGCCTCCTACTATACCCGAGTACACTCCCAGATAGTCAATAAATTAATCCAAAATATCTGTATTTAAATCTCCACCAATCTCTTTTTTATTTCTTTATTATAGACCATAGCTATGTCTATTTTTTAAAATTATGAACCTTTTGCGTTTGATATATCTCGACTCGTTTTTAACTATTTGACAGGCTCGACCTAAAAAATAATGGCAGATCGATGTGAAAAATCTACCCTTAGCATGTGCATTGTGCAATGACGCCATGCCTAACAAGGTTGCAGGAAACAACACTAATTGTTCCCAGAAATAATTTTTAGTTTATTTTAGCAAATGAATCATTGCTTACAATATCGCTTTTATGACCGATCCATTCGGTAAAGTAGAATTGGCCGGACATAAGGAATTGTAGTTAATTTTAAATTAAAGAACTAACAATCAACGTTGTAAAATAAATTTCGATAGCCTTAATTCCAAGCGAGTATATTTTTACATGATTTATACTGCTGTGTAGAATCAAGTACGAACTTTGTAATAAGATACTGAGAGTGGCATTGCTAAGCTAAGAAACAATGAAAGGATAACATACGTAGTAGTTCTGACATCAGAATCAGTGCTTGAATTCTGTAGATGCAATCCATAAATAGAAGATAGCAGGTGTGGTGTTTATAAGTGTTGTATAATTAATCTATTAGCAATTGAAAAATAGACAAGGTACGAGTGTTTATTATAATAAATAGGTAGTGCACGTACACGAGTATTCAACACGGCACACCATTTTGGATGTTGATCTTGGAATGAATTATGATAATCTTATACCGTACTGAATATAACTTTACATTATTTCAGAATTAAACTTAAAATAAAACTTGCATTATTTTCACCGGCACATTTAGTAATTATTATCTTACAATGATATGATTACGACATAATTCCGGTATCAGATGTACTCGTTAATATTACGTAAGATTTTCAAATGTTTAGCTGTTTTGGCCGTGGAAAACGATTGGTTGTGATCCGGTTTTTTAGTACAACCGACTAGTCAGTATAAATCTAGTATCATGTTAAAGTTTAACCTTCGAGATCTAGAACCTTGTAATCTCTACAGCCCCTTTAAATGCGAATGGCAGACTACCTACGCCCTGATGTATTAAAAAAGGAATGTAGATATAATCCGTTATTAATAAATAACTGAATCTGCATTTTATGTAACTCCAATGTTCACATAAAAACAACTTTATTCTTCTTCAACTTTTGCCAAAGTTATCAAACTTTATAATAGCGCTAATAAAAAATTGTCACAATGAATGGCGTCTATCAAATAGATATATTGTAGAAATAAGTTGCGTGCATTGAATACATTCTAAATAGAACGCTAAACAACCGTTTAATTCTGATAGCTTCTATAGCATAATAGTACAGGTACTTTAGTTGACAAAGGCTAATCTTCATTATAACTGTTATTAATAGACAAATGAAAAAAAAACTCTATATTTGATTGTTAGTCTATTGAGAAGTACCGCCCTATGGATTTTATGTAACTATCTTATTATCTGAGTTTCTATTATTTAGAATAATTGCACTGTATCGACGGATTTATAATGGCTAATAAGAGCCATTTCAAATTCTATTTTTGTACCCTGAATCAAGATTCATCATAAGTGTTTATTATTGTAGCCGGAAAAGATAGAAATGTGTTCATTCGTTGAATACGGCAACATTTTACTGCATTGAGAATTGGATGGCTTGGAAATTTTGTTTGTTGAAATGAATTACTGACTGACTGACATTTTAAGCATGATGCAATCAAGAAATTAGGCTGTAGGTTAGGCCAGTACTTCCTCATACAGTTGAATATGTCAATAACGTAACGTAAGAAAATGCACCGTATTATTCTTTCTTATACTAGCAATCTCTATACGTTCCATCCTGATATGAATAACGGATTAATGCCGTAGTGAACGTTGAGTCTAGATGTCTAATAGAATTTCTTTCAATTTTATCTTTTACAACTATGGCATAGGCAGGTAATATGAAATTGGCTTTGTCAACCATAAAAGCTGTGATAGAAATAGTATAGTCATGACTATCAATCAATACTTGAATAACTTCACTTTCTAATTTGAACATCTGGAATGGCAATAACTAGCGTGGGCACAAGCTACGTATTAACAGATTACTTGCATAGAAAAATATGGTTGCATAATTTTTATATCTTGTATTTACCAGATAACCTTTACAACTATTATTCATATTACTCATTTTTTAATCATTATCGTCATCATCGCTATCTTATTATTGATTTAGGTATATGCAGATAGCTGTTTCTGTATTATTAATTCATCAAAAACAATCCGGAACTTCAATTATTGTTTTTTGTATGCATAATTTGCATTCCGCACGACAAAGAATAACGTAAACAAAAATATTTAAAATTGAACTTTTGGATGCATATAACCATTTAATCAATTAGAATAGTATAAATTATTCTACACCGAAATGAATTTTTTAAGCGACTAATGGAGATATCGTACTATTTTCAAAGAAAATAATCTTTTGAAAGTGTTGCTTGTTTGCATAGAATCTATTAAATCACCGTTGCTGTACGTAAAAGTTGAACTATGATCCTGTCGTTTTATTGGTTGAGAATGCCAGGTTAATTTACTTTTATTAAATATGAGTAATTCAATAAAATACATTAGTAAGAAATGGTATAGATGAAAGAAAAATTGCACGTAAGACTCCAAAGTTAAATGATGTTCGACTCTATAAACTACCATATAAAGATTCGTTGATAAACAGTTTTGAGTAATACAGCTCTTTGGAGAGCTACTTCTGTAGGAAAATAAGCTCTATAGTGAGACCCCCCCCAGTAATCATGAGGAAGATGGCGGCACTAGACCTAAATGGGCTAGTGATGTCAAGGATTACATTTAGGCATTAAGGTAGTGATATGCCATTATCTTTAGGAAGAAGTTAGGTCGATAGCCAGAAAGCTAGCTACGTATAGTTATGTGGTCCAAGCTTTACTACTGTAATATTAAACAAAAATTTTTGATGTATTATTTTTAAATATTAAACAAGAATATTTTATGTATTATTTTTAGCCATCGCTAAGGATTAGTTCAAAACAAGGCTAGATGGAGGACTTTATTACAACTACAGTACTTTGAAGCAAATCTTACTCTACTGGCTAATAGTGTTCTACTAGTATTTACTTATATAGTAAAATAATATAATTAAAAGAAAAGCATCACGTTAAACAAAAATGAATTAAATTCAGACTACTACCTACGTATATTCAGGAAATAAACTAAAAATAAGCAACAGTAATCGATAACATCTATGTCCTAATAGCGATTAAGAACGACTGCAATCAATCAATCTAGTCTGTTATTTCATGCTCAAATATAAATTAAGTTGAAATGAATGATAAGATTGCGGATAATGAAATAATTTTATCACAGACTTCACTAGTAAGGTAAAACTAGAATAGACTACCGGTACTAGAGTTTCAACTTATTGACTATCTGTCACTTTGCTGTTAAATAATCAAGCTAATATAAATGCATCTAATACTGATATAATATTCAAATATACATTCTTTTAAAGAAATTAAAAAAAAAACAGCAGTAAATAAAGGTTGGTTTGTTTATGTGATTACTGACTACTTGAGAAACAGCGTTAATTATTTAGCTATATTGATATAAAGACTTCAATATTAATGTGTTACATAATTCGATCTATTTTTAAACTATTCATCTTCGATCCATTGATCGTATACGATAAGAATTGTGTCTAAATCCACATTTAACCAGCATTTTCTCTCTATTACCTATCGAATACGAGTTATCATCTACAGCAATGTTATTTTCGTATCAGATATTTTGATAAATGCATAAATGAAATTTATTGCTAAAGAATACTTATATGTACTACTGTAATTATCTCATAGGCTAGCATTCATAAGTAGTACTGTAGTATTTTGTAGTCTAATTCACGCTCTAAGATTTTCCAGTATCTCTCCTAAATATAATCAAATAGTAGTTCATTCATTCTTATATTGTTTCATCGTCTAATGCCTTATCAAAAGAGTGCAGATGGTTGTACTATAATGCTATACATGAGAGATTTTATTAAACTAGTAGAAGATATACCTGACAACTGTTCATATTCTGCTATGTGACAAATTATCTTTAGTATTAAATTATCGCAGATCAGCAGGCATCTGAAGTTACGTTATCATTTTGAGGTTGTGTTTGTTGATTATGTCTGTTTATACGCAGCTTAAGTACACATTTTAAGATTTATCGTTTGCCATGGTAGTAAAAACCTCAATGAAAAATGATAAAATGCGAATATAGCCTTTTGATCAAGAGATAGCTTCCGTCTTGCTTTATTGGTACAAGTATAGCAATCGAATTTTTGAATTTAAAGACTACTAGCGCCCTTAAGAAATAGATAGTGACAGTTTGAACCATTAATTTACTTATTATGAGTATTCATAACTCCTATAATTCAATGCGAGATTGATCTCGCTTGTGTAGGTGCAGGACTGTTACTAATTTATCAACTGTAGCCAAATTTCTTTAAAACAGGAAACCCTTCAATGTACAAAAAATTACCGTCGATACCCCTTTTATAAACTGAGGTTAACATTTTTACATCTTCAATCGTATCCAGTAATTGCAAAATATTATTTGTAGTATCCAATCACCCCTCTCCTATTTGCGTCACATTAACATTAACTGTATTCATGTTCGAAGCACATTACGCTTAGACATATAATTAGAATTTTAATACGATAATTATAAAAGTAAAATTCTTTTAACTTTTTCGCTGTTAAATAAAAATGCACCATTACTAGCGTAAATGATTATAATTAAGCTATCTATAATCTATTAAATTAGCGTACATTCTTCAAGTCGCCAAATCAACATATGTATGCTCAAATATCTATATGGAACTAAATTATATAGAATCTTGATATCAACAACCAATAAACAATAGTTTATAGAAAACCGTATTAAAAAAATATCAAGTAAATTTTATTGAATTAAGTAATACTAGAAATACAAGAATCTATAACCACATGAAATTTAGATCGTTGTTGAATGATATGCTTATTTTAAATACTGTAGTTAGGATTATCATTTAAATATGCCAGGATGAAAATCCAACATTGAATTTGATAACATTACCACTATAAGTATTAAGTAGACTGATCAGAGCAATGTTAGCTACCCATATTCCAATAAGTCATTGAGTATATATCGCCAAAGGTTGCCCAATGGGTATTGCTTCTTAATTATATTGTACTAGTTTCCACACAGTTGTCGTTACTATATTACTGTTTCCTTCTTACCCCCTGAATTTTCCCTTCTCGCCTTAAAATAGTGGATAAGCGTTGTTACGGGTATTGTGAAAATTGGTAGCAATATGACGCAAATCATAAATGCGGTTAGCCATCCTGGATACGGCATTGATCCTCCAGTAGCCTAAATAACCAAAAAATTTTAAAATTTATTACTTTACTTTTAATTTGCAACCGTATACACTATTCGTAAGAATTGGCGCGAACTTGTTCAGTCTGAAGTAATATCTCATATAATATAGCTTAGAGTTTAATCAATTTATTACATCACCCAGTCATTACCGTTTCTCTAGACCAGGTACTGTATTTTAAAGTCGTCTGAGCCAGCTTAACGACAGTAGCAATTAGAACAGCAATGATTGACACTGGCGTTATAAAATACCAACAAGCTTTCCAGTACCAATTAGGCTGAGATCCAGTCATGTACTCAATATCATCACAGAATCTGAAAACGATAGAAATACTTGTAATACCATGCCTAATTGATGTCAGATATATAGTACTGTAATTGCAATCTTAAACGATGGATCATAAAAGCAAAACAAAAAACTGCTATCCGAAGATGAAATAATTTTAGATTGCTGATCGAAAATAACATAGCAAGTACCCTTACAGTGCTCATAAAATGTGCATTTAACCAGCTCACCTTTTCATACCATAAGCAAATAAAATTCCGGTTACTTCACATAATGCGATAACAAGTAACGGAATCGGTAGGCTCATAGCATCAAAGACTTCCACAAAATAAAGACCCGAGCGTTGTGTGAAAATGAAGCCAAAGAAAAATAGACCGATGCACATTACACCTGTATTGAAAATATGACGGCTAGTTAGGTATAGTTAGAATTATATCAATATCTAGAGAAAATTTCGCATAATACTTTGATATCACAAAGTATGCAAGAGGAACTTTTTTATGCAGTGCAAACATTTCGCCAAATCTTATTTTGGAATTTTATTTCGAGCTTACACGCACACATAAGGCTAGCGTAATACAAATTCTACTGTACCTGCAAGAATTTCTTTCCTAACATTTCTAAAGTATGAAGAGTCGGAGAGGGTTGTAAGAATTGTTTCTAGTGCACCAAAAATACTGTCAATACCAAGAGTTAACAACATGAAATAAAATATTATGGACCAAAATTGTGGAGGAGAGAAGCCAGCAACAATATCGGCAAAAACAATAAATACGAGACCTGGACCGCTACCGACCTTTATATAATTCATGTTTAAAATTTAAAAATAGTAATATTAGCACCGTTTTCTGATACTATCGATGTTGTTATTACAAAAGTAAATACCGAGTTGAGATAGTCAGCAATTTTGCATTTATTCAAAGCAGCTTCCATGCCCATCGTTGCATTAACTGAACTTATACACGCATCATATTTAGTAGTAGCCATATGACCCAGCACGGAAAATACAACAACAGCAGCAAAAAGCGAAGTACAACAGTTGACTAGCGATACACAAACTGCATCTCTTCCACATTTATTCTTGACTGGATTATAACTAGCAAAAGCTATTAGTGAACCGAAACCAGCACCAAGAGAATAAAATATTTGTGTTGCAGCATCTAACCAAACTATAGGGTCTCGCAGCTTATCAAACTAGTCCATGTCAATATGTTAACAAAAGTAATCAAAAAATTTTATTTCGAATTAGTTAATTAGTCTAATTAGATGTCCTAGGTATGCTTTACGCTATACCCTAAGATATATTATAATCCTCTACGAAACTTACATTAGGCGTTACTAAATGCAATAAGCCATTTCCAAATCCATGCAATGTAAATCCACGAATCATAAAAATGAATAATACCAAATACGGAAATGTTGCAGTAAAGTATACAACCTAAACGTAGGATACAAAGGTAACGTTTTATACTGGTCAGTTCTGAACTCTAAATGTTATTAAATAGCATTAATAATATGGTATAGGAATTAGCTTTATCTGTGTTGATAAATTAATGGTAATACCTTTCCAGATGATTTGATACCCTTTAGGATACTCAAGTAACTTATAGCCCAACCACCTAGCATGCATAAAGTTAATTTCCAGTATAAACCACCACTGGTATTAATGTTGTTGGAAATATCGTTTACTTCACGGAAGAAAAAGTATACAACAGGGCTACTTTTTGCACATTCTCGAATAGGAAGTGTAATATTCGATAGGGGATCAGGTGAAGCATACGTGGGACAGCGGCTCCACGGTAAAACTGCTTGGAAAGAACTAAATAAATAGAATAAGCAGTACGCAATGATGATGATATAATAGGACGCGGCCACAATAGATACCATTAAGCCAGCTATTCCAACACCTTTCCATTTTGGAGAAATAATCTTCCAGGAGCCGACAGGACCTTTGCGTAGTCTTTGACCAATAGCCAACTCCAAGTGAAAAATAGGTATTCCCTCGATGATCAACATAATGAAGTACGGAATGAGGAAAGCACCTGAAAAAATCGTTTACCGGAGTTTGAAATTTTTTACATACTAAACATGATTTCATTTATTATTGTAGTTCAAATTAAAATTTGAAATAATAGTCAACGAAAAATTGAACAGAAAAGTGCTATATTTCGGTATAGGTAAGACTTTTAATTTCGATTAATTGAGCTACGAGTAGGTAGTACAAAATTCAATAATTTTTGCGCTTCCAGCAGCAAATAATTTGGATGGATACATAAAATCACTTTAAAGTTACACTAAACATATTATACAAAATCGTGTATATCAATGATAATAAGTATACACGCTTTGAATTCCTCCAAGTCATTTAGAAGAGCTTCAGCTTTAATTTACTACTGCGGTGGTTATAATTAACAAATTTGAGGATATAAAAGTTCAAATACCTCCGCCGTTCTTCTGTACCAGGTAAGGAAACCTCCAAACATTTCCTAGACCGACGGCAAAGCCAATAGTAGCCAATAAAAATTGGACTTTATTATCCCAACGTGGTCGATCATCTAGCTCTTCATCATCTCCTTTCCCATCAATCGTACTCAATCGCATCGATTTCTCGTTGCTATCTTGAAAAAAGGTTGTCTCCTTGCCCATTATAAATTTTAAAATATTCTTTTATCGCAACAGCAGCTAAAAAGAATTCTAGCTATATTGATAGTAATTTAAATTAGTTTCTAATGGGTTCAGTTTGATCTTTATCGCAGTAGCAGCCGGCACGAATTTAGCTATATTAATAGTAATGTAAATCAATTTTAAACTAGTTTATACAAGGATACATATGCATTACAAGTAGCGAAAACATTTTACTATCAGCAACGAAATATTATTGTCCGAAATAAGCACATGGCCAAAGAAATCGATTTAATATAGTTTATTACAGAGATATCGAAGCTGGAACCTAGAATTGCGATCAAAGCAACACCGATGAGACCTTCAATATATCGTACAATTACTATATTGCATCATCTTAAAATCGAAATCACGTGTGACTATAACATCACCAATTAGGAGCAGAAAGAAAATGTTTGAAAATCTTCATTTCGTAATGATTTCTATATTCCTTGCCATCAGCGTCAATAAAATAAGAACTACTCTTGGTTAATCCTTCCTCCTAATTTACATCGTGAATTAGCACCGTTAATCTTACAGGTGTTTTCGGTGCCTCATTCTGAATACTCTGTCAGTCTTCTACGCGTTGCTCATTAAATTTAAGGACAATGCACGTAAATTTTGAAATACGCTATAATTTATCTTATATTGAAGTGGTTACAAGTTGTGTACGGCTGGTACAAGATCAAAGAGCATTGTAGACATGATTCCTTTTAATTGAGCTAAATTCTGGATATACTCGGTAAGGCTTTACGTTGTTGGGCTTTACTTTTGTTGATGCTGTGTAAATAAAACGATTGAGTGTGTGCATTGCTTCAAATTTTCGCTTTCATCCATCACTTCTGGGCAGTATTTAATATATACTACAGTAGTTACGCTAGTAAGAGTGAGTGATGAAATCGACTATCTATTTGTAAATAAAGAGTTGATTCGTAGATTACCGTACATTTAATTAATGAATATTTTCCCCACCATTGCCCATGACAACATCTACTACCAGTCTAATAATATACTATACAGTCGGAGAGTACTCTACGTTAATTTTTTATCAACAAAATCGCGATATAAATAAAATTGGAGCGCAAACGAATGGAACGATCTCATTAGACTATACCTCTATAGTTCCGAAAACAGAAAGAGAATTTTTCCATGTTTATGATTGTCCTTAAATTTGAGAAGTATTAGGCCAAATCAACTCTTATATCTATGCTTGAAATTAATTCTCTTTTCGGAATGTAAAAAATACGGATCTGCACATCTATTCTACTGATTATACGAATAGACCAGAAATATTATCTGGATGTTTTTAGACTATGGCACGTAACTATCAAATATGAATCAAAATAATTAAATTTTTCAATGAATTAAAGCAATTTTAAATCTAATTTTAAGCACGCAAACTGTAGTAAAATTCAAGAAAAGATGTAAAATGAGTCGCTAAACAATCTTATGAAAATAATTTATAATAATACAATGTGATTATTACTTAAATAGATATCCATTTTTAAAGGAAAAGCGAGAGAGTTAGAGACTAGAGGGTCTAAAATTTCATTTTAAACTTAAAACTTATAATATGTAAGTTAGGATTGACTTTATATGGAATGAAATGATGAGAAAATAAATGGTTAGTCAGTGTTTGCTAACGATCCAATAACTATTTATTCAGATCAATAGTCTGCGATTGATAGCAAGCTGGATACTATAAGGTACAATCAGCCGGGCGTCTTCAATAACTAAACAGTTAAAATGGGCAATTATTGAGGTGAAGAATTAAAGGTTTCATGACGATTTGTTTTTAAATTTGGGCCCAGAGTATGTTCATTCTATTATCGATGCTCAATTGATCCAATATAAATAGAGAAATTAAAAATTCGATCCTTCAAGGGTTATACTCACGAACAGCCAGAAGGAAGAGAGTTTAAAAAACACGCTAAAGGAATAGTACGGCACTTAAACATAATGTAACAAATTCTAATCTGCTATCGCACGGTGCCGCAAGAATCCATTAAACTATGGGATAATTATTATCGGTAAACTTGTTTAAATAGTCGATTGTAACATGTTGTTGAACGAATTAAAACTGTACAGTAGAATCTAAGCTAAAAAGTATCTACTTCTAATGTTCTTACCCTAGAATAGTTGCTGAAACCAATGGATAATTTTATCTTCAACTCTGATGCTTGATTGCACTGTGTACGTCTATAATATACTGCGGACGATTGTACATAAATGGCCCAATAATGGGCTGTACCGGCACTATTCTAATGCATTAGTAAAGTAATTTGAATAGAATTTCTTTTCTTTCCATTCTGGGCGGCTGTTGTAGTATTGATTTCATCCTGTACTATAGTAATTTATAGTACCGCATGACAACTTGCGACACAGAAACATGATCACTGCAATTTATTTAATTGTATTCATCGTTACTATTTCAAATATAAGAATACGTTAATGCATTCTCAGTGTAACTATAGCCATCGAAGATGAGAATAATGACTTCAGTACTATTCTAACTAATTATCTTTGCGGGATTATTGTTTCTTATTATTATCCAAATGAGGATAGACGAGAGATTATTGTCATTCTTTATCTAACGAATTTTTATCTCTCACTAAATGGATGTATAGGGTTGGACTATATGTCTATAATAAGACAGTAGATAGTTATTGCTTCATTCATCTTTTAGTCTCGTACTTAATGAATTACAGAGGAAATAAACTAAACTTAACTTTACAATTACATAATAATATCTATGATAGCAAACAGTTGTTGTTCCGTTCATTTTTTAATGTCCTACTTAATGAATTGGAATGGAATGAACTCAACGTTAGTATCACCGTTGAAAATTAAAATTAGATTGAATGGCATTCTAGAATATGCTAGTTTAAAAGTATGAGTTTTTTACTCCAAATCGGGAAGCGATCCGATGATTTTTTTCCTGTCTATCTCTAAGTACTATTAATACATTATCCGTTTTATTTCGTCGATACATCGCAACAGAAACACAATAGTGTAAGAATTATATTGCTAGAAAAACAAAATTAGCCGCAATTATTAACGTATATGTGCAATATACAGCACATGTCCGGATAGCGTTAGCCTCTTGATTGACAATCTCTACTATCATTCATACTTATCTATTATAGTATTACATCTACTCACTTTCTAATGTTACAACAAACCATTGATAATTTCTTATTCAAATTCGATGTTATTGATCTAATTATCATCCTGGTTCTAAATTAGATTCTAGAGTATTACATCCTTAAGCCCAAATCGCATATTCTATGAAATACAATTCATATCATCACCCTCGCTTTCTTTCGTCTTCTCGCATCACCATGATACGAGTAATACAGGCTTTAATGACGTTATCAAGAGCAGAAAGTGCATTAATTTCCGATAGGACGATAAGAATATTTAGTATGTAGCAAGAATCAAAACGTTGAACTGCTTGTTTTACACTATACATCATCGTTTATAAAGTCATTGCCATGTCAACATTCGCAGCTTACACATATTGGTACCGTAGCTAATTGAAAACTGTACGGTTGTGAACAAAATGTATGAATTCAATCCTTAACAGTCGATTACTAAATCAAATTCTAATTATTTTTAAAATGATATTGTACGCTAATGTTCTGTAAAAGGTTAAAGGCTGTTATGCCGGATGATGTCTAGATCTGTTGCATCCACCTTAAACATAATACATTCCTAAAGCTATACGGTAACGTACCACTTACTGATCGAGCTAAATGGTCACCACATTAACTATTAACATGATCTATGTGAATATGATAGTGAGACAATAATTGTGAAGATTTTATAGTGTACTATATTTAAAAGTATATGCCTTACTTTAGTTCCAGACCTAAAGAAGACGCCAGTGTAGGTGTAAATTAGATTTATTAATCTGATTTTAAATGTTATCTTTAACGAATTGTACATAATAAGCTGATCAAAAACTATGATTAGATCTCTATGAATTTCCTTTTCTTTATACAAATTACCTATTCAAAAATTTTATGTCTTTACCATGCCCTTATTGATCAATTTTGGTAGAAGTAATAAAAGTGGCAATAAATCCATATGAAAAACCTACAAGAATACAAACGTCTTATATCGTGTGCTGCTAAAGGTGCCAGCTATTCATTAAATTTTGTCCGCAACGGCATGTGTTACGAATAAATTTTGCTATCGTTATACTTGGATACTTTTCTGTATCTTGACTGAATCATGATTAAGTACATCATTGAAACTTTGAATTGGTATGATAGATCAAATAAAATTGAAATAGCTCTTAATTTAGGATTTGTGCTTTGCTCTGGTTAAGGCTATCGAAGCTAATATGTTGATAAATAAGTAGTATTTTCATTTTAAGTTAGATTATTAATTTGGCCTTAAATGAGTTATAGAACAAAAAGTTCATTCTAAGTATAAATGTATACAGCTCCTTTAATGCAATAATTAAGATATTTAAATTATTTTTGATGATTTTGGAATAGTATTTTAATAAACACTTAATTAGGATATAATCCCAATGCTTGATGTCATTCGTTAATATTAAGTGAGAATTTCAGCTACTTGAATAACTTCTCGTAAAGCTATTCTAGTGTTTTACTCCATATACAAGGACAACAGTAAGCTGTTTTGCTGGCTTAACAACTAAATGACCGGATAAACCTTATCCGGTGTTTCTATATTCCCCTTCTTTAATCAGTATCTTGTACATACATTTAATTCAGAATAAAGAATCCTTTATTTTTGTTTAGCGATTGAAAAAGATTCTTAAGTATAGCTTAATAATAATATAATACATACTAAAAAGATCATCTTATACGTAAATTGTACAAAAGAGTTGCATATATTAATAAAATTAAATACTGGTAGTATTTAAAGCAACTAACAAAGACTTTATTATAGTTTATAATCAACAATATAGTAGACTCTACGTATTTGTTCTTTGGCCTCACTAGGAAAAGCTACCCAACTTAGTTTATGCACTACATAAATTCTCTAAGTTATCATAACTGTATTTGAAATTGTTGATAAGTGATAATATCAACAGACTTATGACCGGTAGTGATGTCTAATTTCGATTGTATTTTTATTTGCTAAATAGGCAACATACTTTTTCTTGTTGGATATAGAGTCCATACGAATTAACGATTTCATATTATGATGATTCCTTTCTCTTGTTTGCTAAATAGCCATCTAAATCGATGGCTATCGCCGAAATGTAGATTAGATTAAAGTTTCAAGTCTTGAATGATGAATTAATATGATAGGCAATCATGGGTTCATTTTCCTGATTCCATTTATCTATCCTTGTATTGTCTTTTTACTTATTTGCTCATGATCATTATATTTATCACCCTGTATGGAAAATAGAATTGAAATTATAATTGCTAATTACCTCCAGTGCTGTTTTAAAATCTTCGCATGTTAGTTTCAATACTAATAAGGTTACAATTGGTGAGTGCATAAATCGCCAACAAGTTGCTTACCTAGGCGCGTGCCATAAATTTAATTTTTGTACTGTGTATTACCAATCAACATTTATAACAATTATTCTACTTGCTCCTTTTATCAGCTACATTGCCTAAATATGTTAAGCATAGGTATCTTCAGTCTTTTATTACTGAAATTTCTTAAGAGACAATTAATCTGGAGTTTGAATGATTACCATATGAAAGCACAACTCGTATCTGATGAAAGGTAAAATGGCAAGGCATTAATTAATATGATTCATTATGGTAAGTGTTTGAGTTTTTGCTGGTATGCGTATAAATGAATCCAATATGAATATATATCGTATCTTTCTGTATATATGCACACATATGAATAGAGCGTAGAAAAATTTTGTAATCGAATTGCTTCTACGTGAATGATTATAAGTTATTATATTATACATAAAAAGTTTTGCATTATTTAGCTGCCCATGAACTATGGTACAGTATATTTGTCAATGAAGAAGCAGGACGTTAAGCTAGTACGTACAAAGTATATTACATAATATACATACAATCTAAAATAGAAAATTACTATTTTGATAGCCTTCTATTTTCAATTTATTCTCAAAGCGAGATTATTTTATGTGTTAGTAGTACTACTACGATTACACCCATAATCGATTTCAATCCCATTTAAATTCCCCTTATAGTAATATAGATTGCAGCTATAAACTAAACAAATACTGTATTTTATCTCATATAAGATTACCAATGACCCTTCACCTTCATTTTCTTCTCAGGAAATGACCGTTGCTAATCTGTCCTAATTACGCAGGTTACTAAAAACCAATGATAAACTATCGTACTTATTAAACTAGAGTAATTCACTGATCAATAGTATCTTAAATCGTTTACTTAATCCTTAGTGCAGACGATAGACTTAGTAGTCGGCAGAATTGACTGAATATAATGCAGTATCAGTATTGACAGTGGCACGCAGATAATTACAAGATATAGGGCACTAAACAATTTATGATAGCTTAGGATACCATGTTAGACATGATAAGAGGTAAAAGCAATTCCACTGAATTCTGGCTTACTTCCCAGTCCCCCAAAATAGAAACTTAGGAATTAATCAGGTGCCCTCATAGAACTAATATAATGATAATATGATGCTGAACAATGTTTGTTTTATCAAAAATTTCAATAAGGCCTAATTAAAAGAAAATTTTGCCAAGTTTACATATATATTGTTAGTCCCGATTGAATGATATTTATCCACTTTTAATATTGAGACATACAGACTGCAAATACTTTGCAGTTCCAAGCGAGAACATATGTTTCTGTTTGAATTAGTAATGAATTCATCTCATTGTAAATGCACAGTAATTACCTATAGTAATACGGAATTCTAAACTGATCGACATTTATGTTAATAACGAGCCATCCAATCATCTATTATAGATATAATTAGCAATGCTAGGATGACAATCTGAGATGGAATACTTCTCTTTCGATTTATTAGCGTTTGCTTAATGGGCGTAGTATATTAGTACGATGTATTAGCAAATGATATTCTTGATCGAATTAAATAAATGCAGTTATAACTATTTCAGCTTTACAGCAACATATGTTGCCATATCGCACCACAAAGGCATTTTTACTAGCTATACAGTGATTCTTTCTAGACTTCTTAACTCGTCTGTTAGCAAACCATCTCGACAAAAGGTTAAAAATTATTTTACGTGATCTATTTATGCGGCCAACTATTATTACTAATTAAAGTATTTTACCAACACATCCTGTACACAATGATCAAATTTCTCTTACGTTGCTCACTAATCCAATATTAATCATAATATTAAACATCTAATGGCTATTGCTAGTGATGGATCCTATATCAAGTCTATCATAGTAACTGATTCTCGAGCAAGACATTCGACAGTAGGCCATGTGAACATCTGATCACTTATAATTAATAATTAAAGCTACTATTATTTTAGGAGAGAAAATCATTGTTTAAACTAACAAGTTTATTCTTATGATATCACACTCTTACAATACCAGGATGAGTGATTCTATAGAAAGGAGATCGAATATATTAAGCAACAAACTACCATCCAATAGAAATCAAAGTTAATACAGTGTAGAGGGCTTTTACTGTACTCGAATTGCCTTGTCGGCCATCTTGTCGCATTTACTTGGCAAGTTAGATAGATTATCATTGCATTTAGTGCTTGTACAATAAGGAATAAGAACTTTTAGTAGTTAAGCATAGAGAATAATATCTTATTAGTTAGTGCAGACAGTCAAGAATTCTGCTAGCTAATTTACACAATTGGAAAGAAATGAATATCGAACATTGAATTTTGGATCTTAGAGTAACTTGTTATAATTCCAGAGCCATTGAATCGTTCGTCATAGCTGCTACTTATACTTATAAATCGGCACTAAAAACTGGAATAGGGATAAAAATCTGGTCAGTTACTGCTCTATTAATTAAAAATTTGTAATTCTATGACGCTATCGATTACTTAAACTTTCCGCAAATAAAATGATTATTACTTTCCTTAAAATATAGATTCGATATTCCAGATTATCAAATTTGCTAATTGTGAAAGAAGCTTAACCATCATTCTGTCACTTATTCTTTACTTAATTACTTTGTTGAATGATCTTGACGACATTACTATTAATTCTTTCATTGGCATAAACCCTGCGATTATTTGTTGGAATAATACTGCCTATCCAAGTGTTAATAGAAAGTTATGGAATTGACATACAAATATTAATAACTTTTTAGCCCGAAGTAAACCTCAAAATTGATTCCATATGGATTATAATAAAATTTTACAAAGCAAGACAATTCAAGATATTTACAACAAGAATCCAAATCGAAGCAGTATTGCTACAACAGCTTCAGCAACATCGACTGGCCAATCTTTAGAGATCAATATCTATCGTGAAGATGGTCGACTTCGACATCATAGTGATACGCGAGCTAGTACAACAGATAGCTTTGATCTCAATAATCCAGATAGTCCTGGATATAAATCATCGCTTCAATTTAAACATCAAGCTGATAATAAAGAAGAAGAGGATCCTAATCTGCTATCACCATCACCTTTTCTTCCTGATGATGATTGGGCTAGTGCTTGTGACGGTAGTATTCATGATAGCGACGATGAGGAGGGAACGTTTCATTCAGCAATATCAGTCCAATGTCTACATCAATTGGATGATGAAGAGGATTTAATCTCATCTGATAGTAGTGAAGAATGTCGTCGCTACATGGCTAATCTCGTCGATCGATTGTATAACGAAAGGTAAGTCAATACTAAAGCCTCAGTATAGAATCGATTCTCTATTGCCATCGACATTTCTATTCTGATTATAATATCTTGATAACCGAAAGAACTTACAATGAATTTATTGTAAGGAGGTCCAACTACGACCAGGAGAAGTTTATCATATGTTAGTGTTATTAATTATCAATGAAGCATCTAAATAATTGAGGATTAGTAATCTCCGGTATTATCATCAAGTGATTTTCTTGTTATGGTAACTGTTTATTTCCTGATATGCTTTATATTTGATTAGGGCACTAAACATACGAGTATATATCATTAGCGATAAGTAATCCTTCCATTTTCCAATTAGTAATGACTTCGGTATCATAATGGCTGCATCATTTTTTAAACCGGTTCCTTTGGCTCCGATGATGAGCATATTTTTGAATTGGAGATTAGCAATCTGTTATTTTTCCTGACAAAATTGAACTCTATTCTTTTCTCCATACTTGTTTATGAAGTTATTACTATTCTATCTATCCAAATAGATAGTAATATCATCATTGTAGGATGCTCACAATGAATGGAGAGAATAGCAGCGAGATATTAATGTCTCTCAATTGATTATAAGTCATCAATACGTTATTTAGTTTTTATGACCAGAATATATATGAGGTTCTCAAGTAGTGTCGGTATTCTCCAGCATCCATCTAATCTTTGAGTAAATAGGATATTTTAATCAATTATAGGCCATTGATAAAACAATTAGTATCGGATACCGGTATCAGATATGAATTCATCTAAGTGAATAGAGTAATGATTAATTGCCTTGAAAACTTTACCTTAGTTTAGTAGTAAAGACAAACTATTATGAAACCTAATGGCTTGGAAGTCGTTTCAAAACGGAAGCATCTTGAGCCAGAAAAAAGTTTTTCTTTTGGCTCAGTTACATATCGTCTAGTATGATCATTTTTGTCTACAGTAGGAACTCTTCATACCCTAAAAGTTACAATCAGCTTCTATTATAGTTAATAATATGGATATTTAAGCGCCATTTGAGTCAAAAACGCTATCCTTTTGATCCAGGCGTAAAAATTGATAGCAAGTTTTATCCTATTCTAACATGTAATAAGCAATTTCTGTTATAGCTATTAGTCTGGATACCATTTTCAAAGACAACACCGTTTTGAGTAGCAGTAACCTTCTATCGATCTATTACAAGGATCTTATTTAATAGATTGCTTATGAGCTCGTCATGTCATGCCAAGTTTAAAGCTTGCATGCTGTCTCACAAACACGCTATTTGATATAGGTCATAAAGACTTTTCATTGGAAATAGATCGAACTGAGACTAGTTAGTCTACCCTTGTGATTTCTTCACATTGGATGGTTGAATTTCTTTAAACTCATGATTTTAACTTAAACTTCCATTTTTGCACTAGTACCAGGTACTGATCTTGTTTAATAACTTGCTCATGGGTTCGTCTTGCTTTAACAAGTTTAAAGCTTGTATGCTGGTATGCTGTTTCACGGTACACTATTTGACGGGGGTTATAAAGATTTTTGCATTGGAAATAAATGAACTAAGACTAGTTAGTCTATATTTGCAATTGCTTCACTTTGGATGCTTAAATTTATTTTAAATCGTGACTTTAATATTGAGTTTAAAGTTTCATTTTTATACCAATACTTAGTATCAGTAAAGACTTTTACCCTTTTTCTAAACTGATGTCAGTTGAGAGGTTGAAATACTTGTATTTGAAACTAGTTTCTTCTTCAAAATGCTTTTAGAGGCAATTTTGTTACATAATGTCGTAGAATCAGCCTATAAGGTTACTAATTCAGAATGATTTCACACGCCTTGCTTCCCGAAACATGACAGAAATTTCTGCTCTTTTTGACACGATCTAGCCATAAAATTAGTATTTGACCACATAGAATCGTTTCTTTACTGCATTGACAGTCGGTGTTTTTTCGTGGTCATGCAAGCTTAGGGACATTTTTATTCTGTATTTATTAAGGTATTTCTTTCCCTATATTTAGAGTAAAAGTGATTACACGATTTATAGACTGGAGATAGTCAAGTTTTTTTTCTGTAATTAGGCATTTATTAGCCTACAATACTCATTCTTTCTTAGTTTAGAGCATCACTTAATATTGCTATACTGAAAGAATGGTATTTATATTTGCAGGGAGACCATTTCGCCTGATGAAAAGGCAACGTTTCTATTCTGGTGTAAGGTAATATATTTCGGAGTACAATTAGGTGGCTCTGTTTGCTTTTCTATAGAATCTTGCGGATTTATCCAGTATATATTTATTATTTATATTTAAAAATACTGCGGAATGGATTGGTATATTTATCACGTAAAATTTAGAGATATATCAAGCTAAGTAATATCGGCAGAAGAATAGATAAATTAGCTTTAGTTATTAGTAATATAATAATAATCTGTCTTCAATAACAGCTAATTTCAAGATTATTTATCTGCTTAAATAAATTTAGTTTTGTCGTTACCTTAAGTTTATTAGGAGCAAAAATAAATCAGTACACACAAAATCAGCTGTTAATCTAGTTAAAAACTAGGTACGAGCATTGATAAGTATGGTTGTATAATTTCATTTAGGGAGGAAGTGGCCGTGGATGGTTCGCTTACTATGTCGATAGCAAGGTTTATAATTAATATATAAAAGAATTAAATTTTCAGCCTGGCTATTTGATATTTAAAAACTTTTTTGTATCGAATATTAATATAAAAGCGACTGAAATTAAAAGTTTATTTCCATCTGCTTTTAACTTTAGCGTGCTGAATATAAGCGTGTTTCGGAAAAATCCTTTAACCAACTTGTGACCTATTTCACATTAGTATTATTAGAGTGAGTATTTAGAAAGAAATAGAAATGACGAAGCTAAGAAACTTGTATTTTTGCTGACAACTTCGCCAATTTTAGGGTAGTCGATGAAGTATCGAATTTGAATTGATAAGGCATTAAATTACTATAAAGTTCTTATTCTCTCTACAAAGATTTACAGTTTTTCGCACAAATTATAACTAGTAATAAATCAGATGTACGTACTGATGTAAATCGATGCACATAATTCATTCGTTATCCCTCATGAATGTCATAGCAAATTTGCATACATGCCTAGCCCTATTAATTGCACTATCAATGCAACCAAGTTGCCTTCTAAATTTATTCGAAGATCTCTTGAAAAGGTTAAACTGTTAGGTATTTTAACGTAGATAACTGCAGCAATATACTTGAAAAAAGTTAAGTTAGGAATTTTATCCCTAGAAATAATTGCCTTTCATGAAGATTCAATATTTCTACCTTGTCTCGCAACAGTTTTATGATATTTTATAATTGGTTTAATAAAATTCTGTTCTTACTTTGTCAGATTTACTGTAATCCATGGTTACAACTATAAATAAACCGAGCTAAACTTGAATACAATCTTGATCTCTCATTTCATTCCTAAAGGTGTAAAACTATTGGCGATTTTTATCCAGCAAAACTACTTTTACAGATGTGTTTTACTTTTTATCATGAATATACCCTACGTAAGTATTTACGCATATTAAGACCATTGCTATACCTGTTCTTGATATTACGGTTGGTAGTATTTTATATTCTCTCTTTCATTAAATTATGTAACTGTTAGGTCGAGCCAAGCATAGAGAATATCTTTATGAAGCGTTGAGAAGTCATCCGATATGGTATTCAAAGCTAATATTCTTTGAATATTAAAGTACTACAATAGATCAATGGTATAGAGAAGAAATTAAATGAGTTGCTTCTAACATGTAGGACCCAGTTAGGATTTTGGAATGCCACATTTTTGCATGCTGTGCATAAGGAGCGAGCCTATCGAAGTCCCGTACCGATGTAAGTACTTAATATATAATTAATATAGTGATAGGGTGCTATACGATATTATAGATTCAACATCGAAAATTCAAATACTACACAATAGTATAAATAAATGCTTAGAACACTTTTTAAATGGATAGTATTAAAATTTTTTTGAAAATACTGAAAAGCATTAATATAAGTCTTCGAAGATTATTAATTGCATAAATAAGTGATGAAATAAACTTTGCATATGTAGAATAGAATCGCACTTTGAGCCGATATTATTATCAGCTTATTAAAGCGAGTATAAGAAAATTTCCAGAATTTCTACCATTTGATTCATTAATTATAACGTCTAATTAACTGAAAGGGACAAAATTTGACGTAGTCAATTTGTAATTGACTAAGTAAAGCAATCATACAATCTTGCTGTCAAGAAAAAGATTGGCAATATAATTGTTTTAGTCTATAATTTGTCTAATTTTTATATAATTCTCAGCATTAATTATCTTTTCATTTAGAGCTGTATGGTCTCAGTTATCAAATGAAGAGCGTAAAGAATTGGAAATGTGTGATAAAAATATAGCGTTTGGTCAATTGGGGTATATTGTCATTCTATTAAGCATCTCTACAGTACATATCTACCTTTATATTTACTTTAATTAAAATCTAGTTTAAACGTTATGTACATTTTCTTTATCCCTACTCCTTAGGAGTTTGACTATGAACATGGTAAGGCTAGGATTATCTGTCGAATTTGTAACGGAGTTTGCCAAAAAAATGGCAATTATTAGCAACTTAGATTTTGGTAAGTTAAGTGATTATTAAGAATATGATATCATTACAATTACTAAAGAATCTTTGATTTGCTTAATATATTTAGTTAAACTTGATGAGTCTCTTAAAATATCGGTACAATAACTGATCCTGGATTTATGCTGGTTAACATAAGATTTTAATATGTAAATTTCGGTTTTGTAGAACAATTGGAAATGCTTGAAGAAAGTATTAAAAATATGGCAATTAATGGTAATATTCTTTACAATGCTAAACTAGAACTATTATTTTCTTAGTATATTTAATCTACCTAACTAGAAAGTCCACAATGGCCTAGACCAAGATTTTAAATATAATACCTGTGCTTAAAGTTTGAGTTAACTTTACGTAATAACAATCTAAACAAGATAGAATCAGGGCGAGTAAGAAATCTTTACTTATTCTGTCATCATTTCAAAAATTCAATCATAGTATTTAACTATAAACTAAGTACTTCGTGCTCATATATATAGTACATTATATCGCGAGTATCCAATAAAATAGTTTACCGAAGTAATATTTAGATTAGTCGTCATGTGTACGTGCATACGCATATATCTTGAAGCAAAATTGGCTTCCATTATCAATATTATCGTAAATAATACAGTTTGAGAGGAAATGATAGTAAGCCATCAATAATATATTTTTATTCCTTCATTATAGAAAAGAAAAGTATAAATCAATCAAACCGTTAACCCCATCCACTTCGAGTAGCCAAGCCAGCCCTTGCTTTTTTATCATTGTGAAGTGTTTAAACAAATTATCTATGTAATTTTGGATTGGTTATGAAATTATTGATAAAACTGATTGGCGACATGAGCAAAGATGTTCATTAGTCATAGTTTGTATCCTTATTACTATCAGTGATTGTAATTTTTAGTACAACGGCATAGAATGAATAACAAAGCGAGCAAATATATTCAATATCATATTCTAATAGATTAAATATTATTTCTGTTTATCCTGCACTAACGTTTGCGTTAAAACTATTAATTCAGAGCTTCTCTAACGCTTTGATGGCATAGAGCAATTTCATTAAAGCTAATATATTGTCAGTATACGCCCAGATATAAAATTCAAATTCAAACGTTTGAATTGAAATGAAAGTATATCATTTGTACTGTATTATATCTAAACTATTTTTGATTTTTTTCAATTTTTTAACTATTTATTCCGCAGTAATTTTATAATCGAGTGTTGATGCACTTTAGCTGGTCGAAATATTTATAAATTGTTGTATTTATATCTAGCTCAAAGTGCTCATTTCAAAGATTACTTACGGCTTTAAAACTATATTTAAATGGCCAGACTAAATGTACGCAATCGCTAAACCAAATATAAATTATTTATTTTACAAATGAATAAAAGAGCTTGACATATTGAATAAAAATTGTTGCTATTTCAATGTTATGGTCAGAACAATCGCAAAAGATCAGGTTGACATTAATTCGGTATTGTGATTGCCTTTAGTAATTCGTTGCGAAAAAGCAGTACAATGCCGAAGCTATAATGCAAGCACATTAGTTTGAAGTAGATTCAAGTTATATCGATGCTACAATTACAGCATGTTTAGCATCAAAGGCAGAAAAATCATGTCCCTTTCATTTTTTGAACATAGAATAAAGAGTTGAGCCAAGAAGTGTATGGCTGGCATGGTCATTACATGATACAGATTATGCTAACGATGCTATGAATTAAAATAATGTCAGAAATACAATATCAAGAAAGTCAGTAAAGTTGCACATGTTATAAGCATTTTTAAGCAAATGACTTATTCCTAGCTAACAATTATTCGGTACATCATCCAACTAAAGATTTTATGGATACTTTGTGACTCACTGACTTTAAGTCCAGTCCAGGACTAGACTGTGCTGAAATCTATTATTGTGAGTTACGATAATTAATTATAATTACTATTTCAAGTAAGTATTAATTTGGTAATATTTTATCTCTGTTAGGTTGCCTATACAATTCAGGCTAATTTAGTTTCATTTGCTTCTTAAATAAGTCATCAGTTTTAATATCAAATGAAATTGTACCAGCTGATAATGACTGTAATTGTATGATTGCTTGGTCGACAGAAATAGCATAGATAAAATCTCCATCTTGACGAATAAGTCCAAGTTGCATTAATCGTTGTATAGCATCGGCTGCATTGAACTGAAGATTAATATCAAATTGGGCTTTAATCCAATCCGATACTTGGCTCTCTACTAAGTCGACAGTCGTCCTACCTATCGGTCTGGCAATACTAGATGAATTGACATTGGTTGCATTTGACAATAAAATCACATAAACTAAGATCGCTTCTTTAACAATTTCATCATTAGCTCGATCCGTTAACAAGGCTAATACGCCACGATTATTAGCAATATTTTTATAATATAGAAGAGAGGACCAATTGACCAAATAAGCGTTGCGTTTGTTAGTGTATGCATTGTATCCGTTTAAAGCCATTACAGCAGCTACTCCAGCTGCAACCCAAACTGTGTTCACGATAGGATACTGAGCTAGCGCTGAGACAGATTTTGCAAGTAGGCTTATACCGCTAACACCTACTGATGCCATAATAAATCTTCGAGTATTTTTACCCATTTTAATCTTAAAATCTGGTATTAATGCTTGCAGGTTATCTTTAGGAATGTCCTTGAAAACTTTTAATGTTAGCTTTTTATCGGATTTGGAACGTAAAATTGCAACCACACGGCGATATTGTTCCGGTGGCATAACATTCCTGATCTTATAATACATAATATCCATCATTCGAGAGTACAACGAGCGGTGAACATCGTGTATCCTTTCTCGTCCTCTCGCCCATAAGTCCAAGACCTCATATTTGGATGCGTCAGCAACAACCGATATGCTACTGCTTTTATGTTCTTGTAAAGATTTCTCTACGACAGCAGAAGGTATCTTGTAAAAGTTGGCCTTTTCTAATAAATGGGAGACATGCCTTATTAGCCAAAATTCATTATCGAGTATTTCATTACGAGATAAACGACGAATGGCTTTGGTATCTTTGTCAGGATCAATACCGTCATATAAATCCTAAAAAAGCAATTCACATCAATAAGTAACATCTTTGATTGATTTTTGTCCCTAAAGTTTTTAATGATTACTACTGGTGCTATCAGCGTCATCAAGAACATTTGAAAGTTATGTTGTTAAAGAAGTCATTGAAACTCTTTGATATTTATATTCTGCTATACAATTACTTTCGATCTATAACAAATATTGTATGTACAATCGTAGATTCGTTATTCATTTTATACAAGTATATGATAGAATGATTTAGACTATTAAAATTAGGCCTGCCAATTTAATGATAGCTAGTAGTAAAGCTATGTTGTGCTATCTAGGTTCCGCTTCAAGCGTGAACGCTTAGCAGTTTCGACATGCTTGTCCATTTACACGTGTAGATTACCTTGAGCTCCTCTAGGATACGATTGGATTGTTTGGTTATTGCATCTTCTAGCGTTAATGCCAGCTGGTCAAAATTTGCCTTTTCTTCTGAGGACAACAACTGGGGATTTTGATAAATATATCGGACAAGTGCACGTCTTGTGACAGGAATAAAGCGCTCAACATCGTACGAAGCAACGACGGATTGATCGATTGCATCATCCTTTGCTGCAACCTGTGTGGTTTGAGGACGATGCAAGCTAACGTTTAATTCTGTTTTATCGATCGGTTCATCCACTTTATCCTTAGCATGCTTTCTTACAGCTGACGATAGCGTTCTGACATTATAAACTGGCTTAATACCAGAGCTATTCCTCAACTGACGCAGTGAGCGAAATAAAGTAAGGCGAGCGCAGTTGGCCATTATTTCATCCTATCTTGGGGCAAGACCAGGGTGCGAAAGAATACACAGTACTGTATCGTTGTTGGCAATTGATCAATTAAGCTGATAGCAACACTTTGGGGTAGCTACTATATAACTACTCTATCGATAAATTATGGATTATTCCAATCCAAAGCTCCAAATCGTGATCCAAAGCGGCTACTTTTTTGCAAGGAAATGAGCCGAGAGGTGTATGATTCTAGTGTAGGATTGCGTGTACTCCAATACAGTATTGGAGATGAAGATTGCGTACCATCGTCTCTCTGTCTGTACTATAACTCGTTACCAACTACAGTATCATGGACTACGGTACACAGCACTGTAGTCCAAGAGTTGGTATTGTACAGACGCGCAGACGTACAGACTCTAATTCGTCTTGGAAGTCAGAGCTGCAGTACAGTACAGTACAGTAGTGTAGAGTACAGTACTATACACTGTATCGGGTACAGTACACTACAGTGTGCAGTCATACAGTACAGTATATTGTACGGCCATGGACTCCAAATCGTGATCCAAAGCGGCTACTTTCTTGCACGCAAATGAGCCGAGAGCTGTATAATTCTAGTGCAGGATTGCGTAAACTCCAATACAAGTATTGGAGATGAAGATTGCGTACCGTCGTCTCTCTGTCTGTACTGTAAGTTCTGTAACTCGTTACCAACTACAGTATCACGGACTACAGTACACAGCACTGTAGTGCAGGAGTTGGTATTGTACAGACGTGCAGACGTACAGACTCTAATTCGTCTTGGAAGTTGAAAGTCAGCGCTGCAATACAGTACAGTACAGTACAGTACTGTACAGTAGTGTACTATACTGTACAGTACTATATATTGTATCGGGTACAGTAAAACGTGCAGTCATGTACTGTACTGTACTGTACTGTACGGCCATGGACTCCAAATCGTGATCCAACGCGGCTCCTTTTTTGCACGCAAATGAGCCGAGTGCTGTATGATTCTACTACAGGATTGCGTATGCTCCAATATGGGAGATGAGAAGCCAGTGACCGAGATTTCGTACCATCGTCTCTCTGTCCGTACTGTAACTCGTTACCAACTACAGTATCATAGACTACAGTACAGCACTGTAGTACAGGAGTTGGTATTGTGCAGACGTACAGACGTACAGTACAGTATACTGTAGACACTGATTCGTCTTGGAAGTCAGAGCTGCAATACAGTACTATACTGTACACTGTACCGGGTACGGGTACTGTACTGTACGTACTGTACAGTACTGTGTGCAGTCATGCACTGTACGGCCATGGACTACAATACAGTATATTGCAAGATGTTACTGCGCGCGCGTACACCGACAAAATGGTAGTCCTATAAAATAGAGAACAGTACGAACTGACAGGCCTGTAAAAACAGACAGTACGTTGTCTGTCTCTCCGACAACAAGAAGTACGCGTACCCATGCGCGGACGCGTACTCAGTACTCAGTCATGCCCTATACAAAATCCATGCAAAGTCCAAAGTGGATGAAATCGGACGTTGGCAGTCATTTCTCTTCCAGTGCACTTAGCAACCATATCAACATCACAAAATGGTGAGTCCAATTAGGCAAAAAATAACCAGTAGTGCATGCTAGGATAAGTTGAAACTGTCTTCTATGTTGATTTGAACAATTTAATAATTTTGAAAAAGTCCAATGAAAGTGTTGAATTGCATTAATTACAGTCAGAAATTGAAGAAACCATTAAACGTATACAATCACATAAAGGAGTGGTGGGTATCGTCATCATCAACCATGACGGTGAGTTCGCTAAGCTACACGAATTACCTATTGGCATGGAGAAAGAGTAAACTTGTATGACTACAATTTAAAATCAATCGATTTATCAACCGTAGATGATACTCTTGTGATTGCTTTCTTGATAGGATCTTGTAGACATTTTAAAAATGTGAATAGAGTGTTCTACTATTGGTCGATAGTATTTTGACTCTCTAGATTAGACTTGCTAGTACTGGCTAGATGGAATACATCGTCTTCGTTTAGACGAGATACTACGTAATTTCTCTCCAATCACTTTACATTTAAAGCGACAGTAGTAGGATGAAGTGAACTGTCTTAGTGTAGGATAATCTAGTGGAACGTGTCTTTTTAATGTGACTTTTTTAAGTCTACAGTATGAATGCGATTACCCTAGAAATATCCGATCAAGTTCTCACAGACATTACAAGTACAGTATTGTGTAGATTTATATACGCAGTAAGTTGGACACCTTTTAGATAGTATATATTATACTCGTTATAGACTAACCCAATAATCCGTCTACTGCATCATATCGATTGACGGTATGCAGAGAAAATGTTCGGGCCCCCTTGCATGAGTATGTATGAACGAGAGTGTTAATCAAGTAATAAACACCAGAGTTGCAGATACACCTGTAAAAGGCAACTGATCACGAAGAATCGAAGCGTAAACTTAACAAGTCGCATCTATTTTATCCACTCTCTTGTACTGTACTAATGCTGTCAATGATCATTCTTTATCCCGTAGGAATCCCTATCAGAACAACCTTAGACAATGCTTTGACCGTCCAATATGCTGGATTGATTCACAGTTTTTGCTCTAAAGCTCGCGGAACTATTCGTGAAATTGACCCACAGGTAGTCACTCACTTTGTTATTCCTCATACTAAAATATGATTCAACTGCGTATAATTATGAAGTTGAGATACTAAACTATCTTCATCTCTAATCAATGATAGAATGATTTAACATTTTTAAGAATTCGATCAAAGAAACATGAAATTATGATTGCTCCTGGTAAGAGAAATCTACTTTAGATTGTTGCCGTATGTGTTCTGTATTTTACACTTTATGTCTACATAGTACGACTGCAGTCTGCAGCTGCAAGCAGAATATATACAATTCTTTTCTAACAGTTTCACATTTTGACTTTTTAGATAAGGAATACCTGCTCCTAGTTATCCAAGATCCTAGCAGTTAAAATGGGAAAAATAGGTTTTTATAATGTACAAATGATTTTATGCTGTAAATTTCCTAACACTACGCTACCGTTTCGATAGTATTGCAATCGAGGTGCGATATAGTCATGGGTAAATTGTAATGTAATGAAAATTATTCTTTTAACATCTTAATATTGTTCGTGTAAGAGTAAATGTCTTGTTTGTCAGTATGTTTGTCGAAAATTTTGGTGTAACTTACAATAATTTATTCATAGCCAATCATCTGTAATAGACTGTAGCAGTAGATAATGTTATAGTTGGAATGAAGCTATCTTACATAACTTTGTGATCTTAAAAGTTGCGCAAATAAAAATTTCCGAGTATTATAAAGTAATGGTTTACAGGTACAATTTTTAATCTTGTGGATGGTATCAAGACGCTCGTAACGTTAAGCACTGAGATTCCTACATAAGCATTAACAGCAAGTTGACCGACACCTGAAACGAAAATGTAGCTAGTTCTAGCTATATAAAAATGACCATAATATGTACCCAAACATGAGCTTTACAGCGCTAGTAGGTCAAGCTATTTAGAGTATTCGCTGATGATAGCGCCTTTACAAATTTTAATAAATAAATTACTTGCATATCGCTAATCCAATAAGGCACTACTAGCTATGTTAAACATTGACGATATATCACTATCCCCTGCTTATCGTTAATCCAAGCTTAATTGAGCTATTTTGTTCATCCCAAAATGCTATACAGGTCAATACAGTTAGTTAGCAGTTAATGTAGAAATATACACTAGCTGCTGAGTGAACTGCAACCTCCCAGTTTATCGCCTTAAGGAGTTGTAGATTAGTAATCCATTCCTAGTGCTTTAAACGCAAGTGCAACGCTATTGTACAATAATGCTTAGACGTAGCTCCGATATATTTGCTCATCTATTACTAGAGCCCGTATCCAGTACCTAAAATGCCATACCAAGTCTGTATACTCGACAGTATATTAGGTGCTACAATTATAAAGAGCTATCGTGGTTAATCTAGTATACTACCCAGGCAAAATTCTAAAGTCACAACACGTGATCAAGCTGCGTTGCCAAGATTCCATAGCAACGCTTTTATCCATGACTCTTAAAATCATTTTCTGTACTGTATACTAAATAACATGGCAACCATACGGACACTGACGTTGAATTTATTAATTATATTGTGTTTGTATCTTCCCATTCCAAATAACCCTTTAGTGTTGGTAAATTATTTCGTTGTCTATAGTTTGATATTAAATCAAACATGCTATCGTGCACAGCATTTATACTCATTCTTGCCTACTGAATGAGTAGCAAATCTTACTGAGATGATTTTAGTATCTAATCGATGCTAACAGTCGACGGATGGTAGTTATATACGTGTATGCATGAATACATAGTTTGATTATTGGCTAGCGGCGCTATAGTTTCTTAAACATTAAGGTTGGCCAAGTAGTAATCTGATACTTCAGTATAATACTAAATAAGGAACGACCATCAACATTCCTGACCTGCTACAGACTTATTAAAGTATAGCTGCGTATAATACCGTTCGAAGTTGAAAAGACGACAAATTGACCTTGTTAATTTAAAAACATCGACTTTAATATCTTCAATATACTGTATAAAAGATATGGTAAGATTGATCTAGCTATTTAAACGTAATTATTTTATGCTTTTAATCAACGAAATCTTGTCGTGATTGCCAAAAATATTTTACTTACAATCATCGCTTGGGTTACCCGTAGAAATTATTTCAACCTGCACTAGAAAGAGGATTAGTACGAGCTTAAAGTTATACGAATGTTAATGAAATGAGGATGTTATAAATTTATTGCAACCATTTTATCATTTTTACTGCTCGATCGTTTACAATTTAACTTAAAGCATTACGTTTGTATAACCATCTGAAATGCAAAAGATGATACGAAAAGTTGTAATTATCGTAAAATATTAAGAAATTCTCGCATACTCTTAGGGTGACGTAGAAGAAACTTTGAAACGTATCCAAAGTCATAAAGGCGTGATTGGGATCATTGTTGTTAATAATGAAGGTACGCATATCCTACTATGGTGGCTTTGACAATTAATCATAGCCAATGGATACATAAACTTATCCTACAGAATAGCGTTACCCTAGCCTTACTAAAAGACTTAAAATTGTAGCTGAAAATGTACTTATCGTCCTTTTCGTAGGTATTCCAATCAGAACTACAATGGATAATTCTACAACAACGCAGTATTCAAGCCTTCTCCATCAGCTTGCCGCTATGGCTAGAGGAGTTGTCCGCGATGTCGATCCACAGGTGCCATAACATCCTATTATAGCTAATTTTGATATTGCCTCGAGTTTACATAAATTCTTTCTTCAACTAAAGAACAGTTTTTGATGCTATGCTTAAACCGATTATAAAACACTTTACGAATAAAATTAAAGGTATGCTAAATTCTAAATTGATTTCTATCACTAGAACGATTTGACCTTTCTAAGAATTCGATCTAAAAAACACGAAATCATGGTAGCACCTGGTACATTTCTATACTATAAAATAACTCTAAGAACTTGACATCTTTTCATCTTACCCGATCTAAAAGTTGCTATTATCTATCTTATTTTCGAATACTTTAGACAAGGAACATGTCTTGATTGTTATTCAAAATCCAAATGAATAACCCATTTTAAACCGATACTCTATACGACGAAGTATTCAATATGATCAAGCTCACAGCTAACAACATTATATTAAATATATATAATTTTCTATAGTAAAATTGGTATACTTCGACAATTCATGCTTACACTTTCTGTATCGTTCTTCTCCAATAATAATTTTTATTCCTTTATTAAAATTATAATCAACACAAATCATGTTCATTTAAGAAATTACCTAAAATTGTATAGTGAATTCTATCATTACATCATTTCCCTTCTACAAATACAAAACTGGCCATATGCTGGATACTTTCTAATTTGGTTTGCTGGCTAGCTTCAAAAGTATATTAATTAATTAATTAATGTACAAGTAAATAAAATATAAGTCTATACTCTTTTGTGTGACTGTGCCTGATCTGTAGTAATGAGCTCTTCCTGTAATCTGGAATTAGTTTATTCGAACAGCATGCATACGATAGTACAGTATACTTACTACTGCATACTTTACGGCTCTCTTGTGCTTGTATGCAGCGAAGAGACAGTTAGCTGTCAGTTTACTGTACATTTATTACTTTAGCAAAATTATACTCATATACACAAACAAAACCATTATAGATGTGACTTATAGTCCCAGCTAAATATTTCGTGTATATTGATTGCTTTCCGCAAAGGCGTACTTAGCAAATGATGAAACAAGTGACATTGTAAAATCTATGTTAAGTAGCTCACTGGTAGCAATGCAATGTATGTTTGTTGCATTGTCATGACTAACCATTTATAAATCTATACTTTTACTAAGACAATTTATTAGCATATTGACGGTATTTACTTCACTAATCAACCGTGGTTAATAACATACAAGTAGTTGCTATAAATCTCGTATTTGCATAGACAAAGTGAATAAATGTAATTTAACATAATCAGTTGAGCTAGTAAGATTTTGTATAATTAATTAATCAATTCACTTAATACTTAATAAATCCAAATTATATACGACTATATATGTGTATGCAATTGTATAAAAACCCTTTTACATTTTCATTTTGTACCGTTTACAAATTAAGAGTGAAACAATAATTGATAAAAAGATTGAGCAACATCAAGACATAAAACCAAAGTATAGTACATCTATTAAATCAGTGCTTACAGATCATTTAAACAAGTCTATTGATTAGATAATACAATCATATAACTGTAGCTTACATTATCAAATACAGTTGTTTATCGAACAATAACAGCTGTAGATCTAAACGTCACAGTAGCTCGGTTCTTTACGATTTGAAGGTATTCTACCCAATTGCCATCCTTGGATATCAGTTAACAATTGATTAATAGCTGATGTCCATTCAGTTCTTTCCTCCTTGCAATCAGCGGATAGCAAATATCTAACAAGTAGGAAAATAGATTAAGTTTAAAGGATACATCAATAATTTTTAACAACGACGCTAATACTTGACTTACTGAACTTTAACTTGACCAGATTTGTTAACCGGTCGTAAATAGTGCATATCGAGTCTAAAAGTATGACGTCTGAAGCACTCTTCTCTAGGTAAAACGTGGACACTTTCGGTAACGCAATAGCGCAAATCTAATTTTGTAATGGGAGTCTGAAAAATTTGATACCAAACAGTCAATTGCAAAATAAAATTTTCGTACGCAATCACTTAATTATCTATCACAAGAGAATAAAACATACTTGACCCTTCTCTTCGTCTTCAGGATAATTCCATAAATTTATGGCGTATGGAGTTATTTTGCACCATCTTCGTCGCCATGTTTCCACGTTGTAACCTCCAATGTCATCGTGAACATTCTAAATATAACAGTAAATTTAAACGATTAGATTCGAGTCCTAATTTTAAATCGCATATCTAATCATAAAGTAACCTACCAAAAATCCCCGATGTTCGATAACAGACATTGGGTTACACTTTGTAGTAACGTGAATGTACGAAGACAAAGGTGACGGCTTGACGATCTATATTAAATTATTTCAGAATATTACAATCATGGTTTGAAGTACACTTTTTACCCAATTAAACGAATGACATACCTGTTCTAATTCATAAGTATCATTACGTAAAGTATGGCGATCAATTTTCGCTACTGCAATTAGTTCAAATCTCGTTTTCTTCAGGTTAGTATGCTGTGGAATATTAGCTGTTTTGGGGGTATTTGACAAGGAATGTGATGTACTTCCTTTTGCCTAGTATTCATTAAGTTGAGAAATTGTTATCCATTAATCAAGAACATACAGATAAACTAGTTAATGAAAACTCTTTCCAGCTTAATGAAAAGTCAAATTGCTGTAGTATCATCGATATACCTGTGAACGACCAGTCAACATGTTCATAAACTTCTTTGGTGTTTTTGGAGAAGGCTAAATGTATTGTTCAAATAGCTTTTAGTATGACTTTTTAAAGCTATATAATATTACGTCATAATAACTTGATAAATTACCTTTGGAAATAAATTTTGTTTTTTCACTTTGGGTGTAGTCAATTTGTTCCCTGACGTATTTCCCGAATTATTTACATTTTCAGTAACATTTTGACGCTTTAGTGAAAGCAAACAGATTTGAGGTTAGCTGAAGATTATTATAATGGGTTAAAATATGTCTACGAAGTATAAACTTACCAGACAGTAAATCTCGACTCTCAAAGATACATTTCGATTGACGTTTTTTCTAGTTTTAATTAAATCAAATAAATAAGCTATTGGCGTCGGTAACAGTAAGTGTAGAAACGAAATAAGGTTTATTCTAACACCGCTCCTCTAATACAACTTACAGATTAATTTCATTTGCAAAGGCCATTTCTTTTTGTAAGCCGTCTCTTGTTGAATATAAGTTAGAGCTAAGTGTGGTCAATTGGTTATCCCGTACCAATACCATGAAAGAATGAACTATATTATCTTGAGAAAATAATTAGGTCAATATTAATTAATGGCATAAAGCAAAATAAAAGTGAAAATTGAAGATGCTAATACTAAAGAGAATTAACAGTTACCATTTGATTCCGCAAGAAATTCTCGATTAAAAGGGATTCTAATATCTGGGTAAAACAAATTTCAAACACTAAGAGAATGTAGCTCATAAGAATTTTCATCCTAGAATGTATGGATAATTTTTACCTGATAGGGATAAATCTGTGTTAACTGGTCGAAACTCGGATTGGTTATGTAATACAGAATCACTCATAGTTAAATTCGTATCCCCTCGAAGTCGTTGCACTTGATCTAAACATGCTTGATGGCGGGTAGCTAGAAGGCAAATAAAATATATATAATTGATACATAGCCATAATATCACTCATAAAGTTCCTAAGGCAATGATGATACATGATAGCATCTTGTTATGCATTGATTTACCTGCAAGAAGAAGAGCTTTTTCAGCTTCAGCTTCTTCGATACTACCAGGATGACAAATTCCAAGAGCATTGCTTGCTTGAAACTGAATTGCTTGTTGCGTAGCCGCTTCTTCTAAAATGATCTATCATTTTATAAAATACACGATCATAAGGTAAAAGGTTGTAAGGTTAATTTGCCAAAAAGTTGTAAATAATCTCAAAGTCAAATTATTCAGAGTACTTACGCGTATATCTTCTTGATGCCCGTCACCTTTCTTTTCGGAAAATTCTTTTAATGATTCACCAGCCATTTTATTTAATTTTTGTTGCATGAAATTACCACAAAATATACCGGTACTAGCTCTGTTTGATATATCTGGAGTTGGAAGATTCAACCTTTCTTGGCTTCGGCTTACTGGTTCAAGTTCGCTCTTACGCTTAGGGGCGATGGGCGGTAAGTTTTTCTGATTGTCATGTGAAGAGCGTCGCTGTTGTGGAGTTGTATTGCTGCTTCTACGTTTCTCACTAGGTGCATTAGTTGCATTATTCCGGTATGTATGAGGAGTGTTATGTTCAGAATGGTTGTTATTTGACCGTTTAGGAGGGACAGGAGGATGTCGCGGTAATTTGCGCCTTGGTTGGTCTTCATCTACAATTTCTGCGATCAATCAAAAATACAAAGTGTTACCTTTGCATGCCATTTATTAAAATAATAAATAATGTGTAAGTAAGACTGCAGGAATCTAATTCATTACTTTGAGCGGTCTTGGGTGTTTCAGTAGGTGGAGAAACCAGTCCCAAACAGAGGTCAAACGGTGTTAGTACATTCGACTGACTTTCTTTATTATTCTTTAATGATGGGTGATAACCTAAATGAAAAGGTACTATTGGTCAAATAAGCCTCAACTCTGAACTAAAATTTGGTATTCCATCTCAACTTTTAACATATGTCATATGATTTAACAAAGATTATCATCAACCGGCAAATCACTACGCTATACCTGGACTGTTTTCATTTCCTACAGGAGTAGTTTTCGTTATTGTTGATTTATTTTCGCTAGACGTAGGCTGCACAATATTGTTAATAACATTTCTAGAGGAAATTCTCTTCTCCATAGTTTTAGCTCGCGATGGTGGAGATGATTTTTCTTCACTTTCCGATACGGACGATGTATTGTCATCTTCCTCTACTCTAAGAGAATCTGCTGCATCTACAGTAGGACGTACAGTAGGCTGTACAACTTGACGCTTAACTTCTTCTTGGGGAGTCTTTACAGTAACAACCTCATGTTTTTCATCTCGTGCCGGTATCTGAGTAGTTTCATCTTCTGACTTTGCACAATTATCGAGATTACTATCATCTACTTCCATATCTTTGGATTGTTGAGTGTCATCAGTTGTCAATTGACTCTAAAAATGCGATGGTATAATGGATGTTAAAATCATACCTGTGTAATGCTCCTACAGACTACAGTACGGCACGGGATATTGGCATCAATTGGGTATAGAACTATTGATCATTACTGACGTAAATCAGCTATTATTATTGATGTTATTGAACCATATTCAAAGTTGTTATACTGAATCCTAATTTAAATTTTTAGCTGCTCTTAACTAGATTTATATTATCGTGCTCAGCTCTTCAGAGTAATATTCCTGCTGAATAGACACCTAAAATAAGTAATACGACGTGAGAGTCTTTCTTGATCTCACCTCATTTTGCGTGATACCGGAACTTCCTTGCATTACTTTCTTACGTTCTAGACGTGAAGCTAATTCAGCTTGTTTTTTATTTCTTCGTCTTTCAATTTCTTCTTGCTGTTGTTTCTGTTGTTGAAATAGCATAGCCTTACGGGCTCTGATCGATTGGGTAACATTTTCTTTTTCCTGGCTAGAACTTTCATCATTGGTGCCATTGGTGTTCAAATCATTATCACTAACGATTGGATCGCGCTTTACAGTTTGCTTGTTACCTACTTTGTTAAATCTAACGTAATAAATGAATAATAGACATACAGTGAGTATTTCAAGGCTATAAATTAGGCGCTTATTGTTAGGCTGTAGTAGTTGCTAATTATGCTATCATTGGATAAGCCAACTATATCACTGTGAGATAGATACTGTACAGTAAATAAAACCATGAGAAAAGCATAAATTGAGACATCAGATGAATAGTTATTGTTAAGAAAGCGTCTGATAATGACTACTCATATATAAACTGATGTATATATGACAATATAATACACTGCATATTAATTATGCTGTATATATACTGCCAGATAGCAAACTGTAGCAATGCTCATTTCTACCAGAGACTCTAAGGCAATGTCTACTTACCGCATGTAATCGTATGCGCATCTATGTATTAGTGCATCGCAATAAAAATATTGTACAGGTACATATAAAGTTATTTTCCAGATTAGTGACAAAACCTACGCTTTGCAGGCTTGCAGTTTCATTTACCTGTCAACTCTTTCGCGAGTATTGATGCAACGTCGTTTAGCAGTGTCGAGACGAACACCGCTAAAATTTCTTTCTCTATTATCATTAACGTCATCTTCCCTCAATGGCCTCTTTCTTCTGCCATTTCCACTCCTAATTTCTTCAAGATCCTTCACCTTGCGAGCTAGATTCTCACGTCGTGCTTTCGTTCTTTCTAGTAATTTCTAATAGAGAGAATCAACTTGTTAGCTAATGAGTTAAACTGGTATAACCACTAAAATTAAAACAACAATCTGATCAGAAGCGAAGCAAAACCATGGCAAGATGATTGTAATATCGATCATATCTCCATGTATGCTGCATCATACATCATAGTATCGTATTGATAATATGATTACGATAGAAAAATTCTTTGCAATGTGTCGTTAGTGATCTTAATATTGTATTATTCATGAATAAACCAACTGTCATTGATGCTGAAGAGGAATAAACGATTACACTTGCATCACTACTTTCCATCGTGTATTCAAATTATAAGCAAATTTATTTGAAGCAAGCACAATAAAGCATTTGCAAGACGTTTTCATGGTTTGCCAGATAGAAAGTTAAGTGGTAGGTGCGTATAGTTGACTTGATCCGGACAAACATAGGACAAAAGTGCATCAACGTCGTAGTGATTTATTTTTTATACTATCTTTTACTTGACTTAGACATCACTATCGACTGTGATTGATGTTGAAGAAAAATGAACGTACTTGTAGTTGGTACTGTGACTGTAATATTAAGATCATCGTCATGCAAGGTTGTTTAGTCCTTCAACTTGACAAGTTTTCTTGCCATAGCAAAATGGGGCAAAAATGCAACCAAACTACGTCAACTGTGACGTTTACCATTGCCGTTATTGACACTCAAACCATGGATTGCACTCATGGCTAATCACTTGCCAATTCTATTACTATTTTTATGGGTTTAGCGAAGCTTATTAATTAATCGATTGATTCTTGGTAACGATGCTTCGACGAAAAACAAATTTGAAATTGCCTCTTACCTGTGTAAATTCATCCATGACTTTTTAGGTTGTCGTTGGATTGATAGAAGCAAATGTTGATTTCTTATTACAGGTCGCTCGAACTGGACTAGTTGACGATTACAGTTGTTGATCAATGGGTAACTAGCTTGTTCAACGATGGAATATATCGACTAACCGACTTTCTCTTTCTCCTAGCACACTTCACACTTGAATTTAAATAACTTGGAAGTATTTAAGAGGAAGAAACGTCGCTAAACATTCGTTAGAATTTAAATTGACCGCGATGGTTCGACTGCGCACGAGCGATGAAATTTGAATTGGTGAGCTTGCGTAGTGTGTGTTGTTGAGCTGATATTGGGAGGTGTTAAGTCGGCATAGTAGTACAGTAACTGTATACTTTGCATAAGGGCATTCCGTCATAGTCGGCCAACTATAGGGATTTTTGGAAAAAAAGGAATTGTGAAATGAAAGGCCTCTTATTAATTCTCGAGAAAAGGACTGATTTACGTCAAGCTCTACGAGAAATGGAGGTCTTACTGGCGCGGATACTTGATGCAAACCATATACTGTACAGTAGGAAAAAATGATGTCACTTAACGATTTCCGGTATCTCAGCGCCTGTAGGCAATACTGTACTGAGGGGAGACATCATTTTTGCTAGCAATTGAAGGCTATACGCAGGTACAGTACAGCAGAGTAGACTGCTGTCTATGACATGTAGCGTACAGCATATTAACGTATGACAAAATGGCGAGCAAAATGGATATCACCCTATCCACAGTACCTAGTACTCCCTTTACAGTACAAAAGAGCCTAATCGAGCATTCCTGAGATGAAAAAAAATTGGGCTGTCAGGTCTAATTCGGAGGCTATGCAGTGAGCAGACTGAAACTGCGATAATCAATAGTCTGATTGCTAAAATAGTTTATTTGTTTCAATCGTAGTCCATTACTATGAAGCTCATGGCATTCATACTTCTTCTATCGATCCTAATAAGAATAGAAAATGTTTCTTGCCGCAAGAGAATGCTGTACTAGCTCCAAGTCCGGTCGATGAGATGATATCGTTTTGCACAGCTTTGTACACAGCTGTTGTATGACCAAGATATCAATGACATGACTCTTGTGAATAACTGGTACATCAGCAAGAGATGTTGTTCTACTGTATTGTGCAATGGAATCCGTTCATTGCATTATACAGTAATATGCTGTCATCGTCAATATTACAGGATATACTACTATACAGATTGGCGGACGATCTAATGAAGTTGTCTTATGATCCTTTCTGTTGCAAAATTCATGTCGCCAGTGCCTTCCTACAGTGCAAAGTTTTTCCACATTTTGTGCTGCTTAGTACTGTAATATACAGTATAGTACTGTGCTGTACAGTACTGTACAGCACAGTACTACAGTATACTGTACCACCGGGCTACAGTCCATCTTACTTGTACTGTACCTTGTAGCACCAGCCCAACTCATTGCTATGATACCAAAAACAAGCACAAACCTTGGCGTTCGGCAATTTGATTGGGTGATGGAAAGTATGAATTTATTAGGTTATAAATTATTGACATCGACGCATAATATTTTCCAAGTTACACTAAATAAAGCAGACTGCTGACTAATGTTCGATACACGATTCGTTATATATTATGCGTCCATGCATTAACTAGATGCGTATTGAACTAGACAGTATGTATAATATGATGAAACGGTCAAAACTACAAATATTTTGTAAATACTAAATTTGAGATATCCTTGGGCCAAATATTATCCAGTTGAAATTATTGGATTCCATCCAATTGTGGTTGTGGTCTATTTTATACTCATTAGTCGTATAATATATACCCGTTTGAAGCCAATTCTTATCGATCGAGATTATTGACGGCTATTTAGCAGCAGCGATTATGAAATAATATTGATTACGATAAGTATTGACCGTAGGTTTGAACCAACTCAATCAGTTAAACAACAACTGCGTAATAAGTCTGAAGAAACAAGTTCCCAACATTCATATTGTGATAGGAGATTGGACTCCCAATCAATCAGTCTTACAGGCATAGGTGTTATCAATACTTCAATTCTTGGATCAATTTATATTATTACGAGGCCGCGAAAGACTTCAAGCCTTAGTGAACGCAAACGTATTTCAAGATGGAAGCACTATCTATAAAAAATATCGAATCAAATCTTTCCGGTAAGATAAGGAACGATATTAATCGATAATCTATAAGTCTAGTCAACTGATCAGACTGTACTGATATAAGAATACACTTTCACAGACATTGTGGGATTAGCTAATTGATAATCTGCAAGTCAGTCCAACGGATCAGACTATACTGACAAAAGAATAAACATTTATATAGAATGTTCGTTTAGAATATAATTCATATGAGAACAGCTTTCTAGATTTTTTACTTTTCCCATCAGTAGTACCCGTGTAACGTCATTTTAACTACCTCAAGTTACCCAAAATAGTAAATATTGGTGCCTTTTTATAAATAGTCGTCATATATTTAGTATACAAAATCTATCTCCTAGTGTAGATTAGAACATTGAAGAATGTACAGTAGTCGATAGCTGAATAACTCTGAAAACTAATCCATTCTATATTATATAACGTGATTTATACTAATGATCGACTATAACAGATAATAAACGCCAGCGAGAAGCAGTAACACGAGGGGCGATATCAAAAATTAGTCGAGAGGAATTAGAAGATCGATATTTGAGACTTCATGAAGAAAATCTTGTAAGTTAAATGCCAGTTTATCAAAATATGTTGCACAATTATCATGATTATCGTAAAATTTTTAATTAAAATGGTGAAAACAAAATAGTACAAATTTGAATTAATCGATAGAGGTAATACAGCAAGCACAACATGATAATTTCTAATGTAGTAAGATTTCTATCTAAATTTCATAAATTTATATCGGACTCAATGGAAGGCACTCTTATCGTAGAATCAGTTTAAGGTAAAAATGTTTAACGACGCACTGCTAAACCAATAATTATATCATTTTATCTTAGATTTTAAAGAAGCATGGGACTAAACAAGAAGAGAAAATTAAAAAGTAAGTAATAAAACTATAAACACACATGATATCCATTATTGTATTAACGCCTATCACAATTTAGTAAATTTAGACCTGGAACTATTATTATTATCATTATTTCGATGTATTCGAAATCTGATCAACTTAATGTTATAAACTAATGCACGCAATAGGATGGCAACCAAATTGCTCCGTCTAGCGGCTGATAGGAAGAAGGCAGAAGCCGCAGCAGGTAATCAAATATGACTTTGGTTGATCATGCTTCTATTTTCCTAACATAGTTACCACGGTATTTCTCAATTAAACGATAATCAAGGTATAAAATACAGCCCCGACGCAGAAGAAGCTATGGAAGATTTACGATCAAAAATACGATCATTAGAAAAGCAAAATGATAATTTGAAAAAGAAGGTCAACTACGAGCTAAATAAATAGATCGCTGCTTATTATGAAAATCATCAGATTCTGATAGGGTGGTTGTTATTAAAAAATTAGATGATCATGATGAAACAAGAATTTGAATCGCGTCCGAAAAGCGTTGGCCAGTTTAGTTCCGTTAAATCTCGCATAAATACCAATTTGAAAGGAGAAAAAACAATTACATTACAAGACGGGAATGCACAAATACCGGGAATTTGGACACAAGGAGAAGGCACAAAGTAAATTATGTCACAAAAATTTTATTTTAGCCCTAACATTTGAATTATATGATAAAAGTGAAACAAATTTACTGTAAGATTACATTAAAGTCTTTATAATAATTTCTATAGAAATATGTTTATGACTCTTATATGGTACCAAACGTTCTTTTACTACAGCAAGCGATTTAGTAAATGAGCTGCTCTTAACCTATCCTTACCTACGGCATCCTTAGTAATTTCACTTACGTCTTTCTCATAACTTTTTCAAACTTTTGTAGAACGGCAGGAAAACTACCCAAAGGAAGTAAATCTCCCAGGTAAAATATTTGTTAACTCTTTCATTAAAATACTTAACGCCAGGACGTTCATAAAACACTTACAATGTAATTATTTATTGATTATATGACATCTAGAGGACCGGGCGGAAAATCAGGATCAAGGTTATTTATTACCCAAATCTTAATATCCTACAGTACTATAATTTTTAACTATTATCTTTAACTTATCAGTTATTGTGATTAATTACTAATAAATAATAAATTAGGCAAAGTATGCTTGAAGAATTAAGACATGATAATAGGACACTGTAAGTTGCTAAACTAGTTTTCTAATTAAGAAATTCGTCATGATCGTCATTCTCTATTTTTGCGCTATTGCTTACCAACTGCATATATACGCGTATTAATAGGAGCGAATTAGTAGATCAACTAAGGCAACAAACATCATTCCTTGAAAATGAAAGCATGGCATTAAAAGAAACGGTAATGAATAAAGTATTGCTATAATAGTTATTATCAAGCATAAAATAATGCGTCCAATTAAATTAAAGACTGGCTGGAATCATCAATCATTATCCTTTACGTGACATTAAAAATTTCCCTAACATTAGTTTTATTTCAATAGCTATAATAATCAGTAGTTATCTTTACCTAGATATAATGTATAACTTAAGATTCTTCAAATAACTAACGAAATTTTATAGAAGAAACGCAAAGGACATGACATAAATAGAATAGTTGCTACTCAATCAAATTCTAGAATGTTATAAAATATTGGGCTCTCAATTATATCCAGCAAATTGATGAAAATAATCAATTATCCTTGGCTTTTGTGGCCTTGAGATATTCCAGTTACCATACATCATTTCTTCTTTAGCTTATATGAATTGCAAAATATTTAGACTCAAATTGTCTCATATAACTTTTTTATGATGTTTCGAACTACTTGAAATTTTACTACTCGCACAATAATCATTCTCTTCTTGTAATTATAAAGCTTCATAACTTTCGCCTTTTTAAAAGGATTTCTTCAACTTATTACTTCTATAGATAAAAGAG